AGTACTTCTTCTTCTAAACAGTCCACCTTGTTGACTTCTCGGCCAATGCTTTGTTCTAACTCGAATATTGCTAATTTGTCCTTCAGCGCTTTCAGGGCTGTCTCTTCTTTCGCCTTGTCATTGCATTCCTTATTGAAAGCCATTAGTCTGGCTTTGAAGGCCTGAATATCGGCCATTTGCTTTTGTAACTTAGAATCCATTCAAAACTCCTTGATTATTCTTTTGCCAATTACTGACTCTTCTAGGGCCACTATATTTGGCCTCATCTGTCTGAACATTTCAGTGAGTGCGTCCACTGAAAATGGCTCTTCGCTTTGCGCGACAACTTGAGTTTCTTCCCCATCACAGGTCCATAGTTTCCTTCGTACATGAACTTTTCCACCGAGTTTACTTCTGCGACAAAAGGCCTATTATCGGCCTGTACCACCTCTGCTTCGCCTTTGTTATTCCAAAAGATCGGGCGATGAGGGTATACAACGACTTCCATGTATCCAATCTCTTCCTAGTAACACATTGTAACTAGTAGGACCATCTATTACAAAGAAGACTGTGGTCCTAGTAGTCGTTCCTATAGTTATGTCCAATGGCATAACTCCCTTAGCTGAAGTTGCTCCTCCGTTGAAACTCATAAGGATAACTTCTGTTGGAATCGTGTCACTCTGTCTTTGCAAACTTTCTCATCATCCTAGATGGAATGGTGTTTATAGCTGCTCCATTGTCGACAAGCACTTTTGCCATAAGGATGCCGTTAACTAGAGTTTTAACGTACAATGGCCTCAAGTGTTTAGTTAATTTCCTGGCTAGCCATTTAAAAATAACTTTTTCGGCAGCCTCTATTTCTACTTCCTGCTTGTTTTCTGTCGAATTATCCCCCTGTGATAAGTCGACGTGCAGCATATCGCGCTGATCCTCTGTTTCCTGAATTTCCTTCTTACTTTTTTCTAATGCTTCCTCATCAGTTACCCAACCTGTGGGAGGGAGCATTATTCTTGGAGGTGATCCATACTTTTCAGAGCGAGGCACTCTCTTCTTCCTTTTGGGTGTCCCGTACAGTACGTAGAAATCGAAAGGACGCCCAGATGGTTCTCCCAACAAGTCTACTTCGTGAACTCCCTCTCGATGTAATTGTTTCAACAGAGTATTGCGCGATACTCCTCTCCTTCTTCCTTCTGCTTCTAGGTCGATTTCTTCTTCAATGTCTGTCATCCCGTCGTCTTCTTCATCGTTGTGGGCCTCTCTAGAAGTCTGACCTTCTTCATATTTCAGCACGCAAGCTTCTCCTTCGTTGTCCTCCCTTTCTTCTTCTTTTTCTTTATTCTTGAATTCATTGGCCAGTAAGTAATTATTGGCCACGACAGGAGGTAACGTACCGAACTGGATAGTAAGGGGCTGATCTGGATCTTCTCCATCCCTTCTGTCCCGCCCGCTCAAACTTTGATCTCCCAGAAGAAGTTTCTGGCAGCTCTTTCATTGATTCATCTGTACCGATTTCTTCACTATCCTTGAGAATATTTTGATTGGCTATCTTGAGTAGTTTAGGCGCTTTAGGATGTGGCACTCCCTATTGCTGCCTCATCATTCGTCCATAGTTTCGTTGAAAACGCCTTTGTTGGGTTCTAATCATCTCATCGAAGGGTACTGCTCTTCCTGCATTATAGTGGAACGAATGCCATACATTTGGCCGGCGAGATTGCGGTTTGAATGTTCTCCCATTATCTGCTGGCCTGAACTGCCTCTCAAAAGGCGGTCCTCTATAGAATGATGTACCTCGCCCTCTACCAGGCTGAGTGTTTGGGAAGAAAGTAGGGCGATGGGGATGCTGCCATATCCCTGGTTTCTCCGTATTTCCACTCACTTCTCTTTTACATCTTGCACACAGGATGTGTTTGTCCTTTTTTGGTTCTTTCCCCTTGATTCGTTCAAGATACTAGGATGTGGTCTAGGATCCTCTTCTCCATCATCTACGATTAACTTGAATTTTGGCAACTTATTTTTGAAACCAAACATCACAATGTTCACTCCAAGTGGCTGTGGAAAAGGATTTTCATCCACTGCCATCTTCTTTTTATCGTGGAACGTAATTCGTCCTGATTCAATGGCATCCTGCAATACATGGCGAAAAATCAAGCAATTGTTAGTCAAATGTGACCATGCATTATGCCACTTACAATATTTTTTACCCTTAATTTGTTCAGGGTTTGGCAATTTATGCTTATCGCTCAACTTTATCTGCTTATCCCTATATAATTTATCAAATATAAGGTCAGCTTTGGTTACATCGAACGAGAACGTTCTAGCCTTTATGTTTCCATCTTTTATGGGCTCATCTTTACCCGATGGTCTAGACTTGGCCATTATGGGACAAGTATACGTATCTCCTTTGACCAATTCGGCCAAACACATTTCGGCCTGATCGTATGACTTGTCGCTGATGGTATGAACGTCAAAATTTGGGTCTTTGTAATAAGTCCCTTAACTAGAATTTTTCATCTGTTCTTCCTCTCTTATCAGTCGTTCATACCTAATCACATTCGTACTCAACTAGAAAAGGTCAGGAAATTTCTTGTCCTGAAATTTCTTTTTTAAATCAAAGCTCAAGCAGCCCTGAGTGATTTTGACAAATTCTTTTTCGGGCAGAGGTACAAAACACTTGCTTCTTGCTGTCTTGAACTTTTGGAGAAAACTTTCTGCCCATTTGTTTGGCATTTGACGTAGATTCACCAAATTAGCTAAAGTGACTTCAGACTCAGTTTTATAAAACTGAGCGTGGAATAACTGTTCCAATTGTTGTCATGTTTGAACAGAGTTCGCTGGCAAGTTGATGAACCAGGAGAAAGCTACTCCTGTTAATGAACTAGGGAAAAGCCTCATTTTATGGTAATCGATTACATCACCACTTTGCAATGTGAATCGCCCTATGTGTTATAGAGTAGACACCTTTCCTAAACCGGTAAACAGTGAGAATTCTGGCACTTTATACCCTCTAGACCATAGATATGCTTGGTCTACCCAATCAGGATATGGCTTTGTGTAAGTCGGCCTAATGACGAGACGCACCCCAAAAGCCATCTGATCCAGTACGATTTTCATAATTTGATTCCTCAACATGACTTTGGGGTCATATGGAATTCCTACAGGTTGGTTAACCGGTTGATTTGCATGAGGTCTGATGTTTGGTCCTTGATTGGCAACAAAGTTACCATGATTAGGGCCATTACCATTAGCTTGAACATTTATTCCCTCATTAACTCGTGGGGTATTCTGTCCATTGTTTAGGACATTATCTCTTATATTTGGATTACCCCCCAAGTTAGGCGTACCACTACTATTGTTCTGATTTGGCACTGCACCACCCCCTTGGTTTGAAGTAGAGGGACCAGAAAGTGGTTCTACCCCTTGATTCAAATTTAGGACTGAGGGATTATGTCCCAAAATTGTCCTAATTTGAAAGTGATTTGCAAGAGGCAGAACCGGTTCGTTCAAAGTGTTTAGTTGTTTGGCCATGTTGTCATAATGTGCATTCCCATTTTGGGTAAATCTTTCCATATTATGAATACTTCGAAAATTTACCTGTTCAACGACATCTTGTGTGAGTTCTCCAAGTAGTGCACGCATGGTTCGAGGACTCAACTCTGTCATTGGTTCGTAACGACTGTTACTGCTCTGATTCTGTCCATCTGTTCGTGGAGAGGCATGCTGCTCCTCATATCGCTCGATCACAGACTGGACTCCTCCCTGACTTGCTGCTTCCTTATCGGATCTATGAGGCATATTGTTTCACCTTTTGTATTTTCAACACAAACACCACTGTCCCACAGGGCATGCCAAATTGTTTCGCGCGGGTTTGTTGCTAACAATTAAAAGGGGTCAGACGATTGTGTAAGGGACAAACCTCTTAAGACAAAGTTCCAAAAAGAAGTGTTCTTTTATTGGTGATGACTTTACAATTGGAAATTAAAAACAGAATGCCTCCAAGGGGCGCAAGCACACGAGTTACTGAAAGAAGTGTTTAAATCTAAGTTAAGGAATTTAAAATTACATGTTCTCTGTTCGAGAGTTTTTGATTCGGTCACTTTGCTCTGTGTCTTTTCTTCCTTTTATACTCCCTGGATGATCTCTTTGTAATCAACCACCTAAAAACTGCTTGATCGTTCTACAACTGCCCACTTTTCTCGTAATGGCCAACTTGTCATGGAACTGCCTTTTTTAACTGCTGCCATTACTTTTCGTCGTTCAACCGTTTTCAATTGAATTCCTTAAATCGTGGAACGTGATAGGACTGCTTTAATAACTGCTTTGATAACTGCACTTCTTGATAACCACAACACTTTTTGTTTGCTAAGACTTTGGGCGACTCGAAGGTTTAGGCGAGAATAGAGTAACATTTCTGGGCGACTGCATGACACTCCATTTGCTTAAATTCTGGGCGACTTGCAAACTTGGGCGATAGTGTTATGGCGTTCTTGGGCCTCCCTATTTGGGCCTTCATCTTGAATTGTTTGATTGGGCTTCGTTCTTTGGGCTATCTGATTTGGGGATCCTCCAATTGGGCTTCATTCCTTGGGCCGTTCGATTTGGGCTGAATTTTTATGTGTCAACAGTTCTTCTTCCTCTCCATACCTTTGTGGATTGCTAACACCACCACCCTTCTCCTTTGTGGGGTTAGAGAGAAAGAGAGCAGTCCAAAGTGAAGGTAAAATTCTCGGATCGAGCCAAGGTAAACCGGTGTTCGTTTGATTGTTTTCTGAGCCCGGAATCAAGATTTATCGAGGGATTTCCGTTACATAAAGTTTTTAGTAACTGATTTGGAACCAAAATAAAAGTTCTTCGACACAGAGAAACAATATAATTTGGATGACTAACAGTGTTTTTAACACGGAATGTGAATTTGCAGAATTAGATCTCCATATAAATATATATATATATATATATATGTATATATATATGTATATATATATAGGGAGAGTTAAATCATAAGAACGTGAAGGCAGATAACTTACCAATGAACAGAATAATGTAGCGAAGGATTTTAATTCGTGTGGTTTCTTGAAGAACCCATGCAACAAGAATGAACAAGATAAATCCTGATAAATTGAACTCATGAATATCAGCATCGTCGTCTATCATCAAAAGTAAAATTTGGCTTGTCTGCAAAGATCATACCAATACAAATCCACCGAAGAGTCCACTGTTAAATAACCAGGACAATAATAGATTAGAAATTACAGAAATTTCACTTCACACCGTGAATGACATATTTAGACTAACAAATTTCCACTGGCCAACAATAGGTCGTTTCATAAGATGGACAGTTAAGTGCCAGACAATTTAAGGCAGAAAAATAAGTATTTTTTAATCTCATTCTGCCTACCAAACATGTCCTAAGAAAACAGTGTACATCACTAGAATGAATTTGAGTTCATATCGTTTCCAATCGCACATAAAGAAGCCTATAATTTTCAGCACATTTTTAGGACACAAAGAACATCAACATCTTTACTAGTTTACACTCGGCCTGTTTTTGTTTGATAAACTCAATTAATTCTTAATAGTTCTACTCCTGGGAGTTTGCATTTATTTGTTTTCCAATTATGAATAATTTTAACTTTTAGAGGGGGACACGTTTATTAATTGAAATTTAGTATTCAACACGCACCCTCATGTACACGCGTCAACTTTTTCATCAAAAGTTTGAGATGTGCACGACCACAATGATTTCTAATTCCTGAAAATTTGTTAATTCTGGAAAAAAAGGTAATAATTTACAGAATCAACAATGTATTGCAACATCCTAGTACCTGCAGCCACCAAGAGTGTGTAATCAGTAACCATCTGTGAAAAAATCAAGACTTACATTTTTAGCCACGAAAAACATAACCACAAGAGCAACAGCTAAACATCCGGCAGCAATTCTTGCAGCGAGTAGATTTGTGGATGCAAGTATCAAAACCATTCCCCAGAATGATGAACCAAGATCTGAAATGATACAGGAAAAGGGAAAAAATTATTTCTCCCGAAATGAAATTCAGCCCTCTTTATCACCTATTTTCTAGAACTCATTTTTCTTCAAATTCATTATCACATTTCATATGACCCACAAGTTCGATCAATTTTTCAACCACATTTCATCAACTTTTATCAAAATTTACTAACTAAACAGAGCTAATATGTCAGAAGTGAATAAATAGCACTGGAATAGCATTAAGGTAAAAAAGAAGCTAAAAATATCGTTCATGATATCGTCCAGTCATTGGACTACTGCATACCAAACATGTACTTGAGGTTCTACAGCTCAAAATTCTATCTATCTTACAAAATGCCTTTAAAAGGTAAAGATAACTACATCCAGCAGGCAAGATGAACCAATATACACCACCACGTGTTTGTGTGGCGCCACCTTCATCTGCATGAACTTGTATGCTTTCAACCTGCACACCAACAAACAAAAAGAATGATGGAAATTGGGCTCTCTCTGAACTATTTGGTAGTATCACTATCAATACTTTCGTTGTTTTTGGTCTCAAATTGGTTCTATAGAAGGGTGGAATAAATATATAAAACCTTAAAGAAACTTATAGGAAATTTAATGTTAAAAAAGTCCAGAAAAAATAACAAATTTTATGTTAAGTGCGAAAAAATAATGGCAGTAAGTAGAGTTTCGAAAGGCTAAATCAAGTATTGAGCTATTTTGCATATGTGGTAAGCCTCGACATTGACCTATAAAGTAATTCAAAAATTGCAAATATAAAAATTTAATAAAAGTAGCAAATCACGTAAAAAGACTGCTAATTTACTACGAGTACTGTACGTCTAAAATAAATGAAATAACTAACCAACCATCTAAGAATTTTTCTTTCATCAATGTTTACAAAATATAATAAGATAATAGAGGCAACAAGAAGAACAATATAAAAGAAAAGGCGAAGTGAAGTTGTGTCTTCTAGGCCCGATACAACCATTCATCTACTGCGAAATAAGTACAACTTTACTTGGCCAGAGGCTTTTTGCATTTTGCTATGGCAAGTTAGGGTAAGTCTGACTTCACTTGTTCTCTTCTCTAATTTTCAATTCTTTAAGGATTGGGCAATTTTCAAACGCTAACAGTTAGTAACAAGAAAAGAAAGGGAAGAGTGTGTCACACTGAATTTAGAGAGTTAAGTCCTCGTGGACCTACAAATTAAGATTTTACTTCAAATTTTTAACATGAACAACACTTTTACTCACAATATCGACCTTTTTATGCATAGTTGGCAACGAGAAACCAACTTACAGATTATGTAGTAGCAACAAACAGTATAAAACAATGGACTAAGGAAAAATTCTGCCCTTCTAATATCAGCAACAAACTGGCATTTTCTAGGAAAAGCTCACTCAAAGTCAAGCCAAAAAATGCTCATGAACTTTAAACTCGATTACATCCCAAGAGAAAGTTTCAACCAAAAAAACCAAAATTTTATTATTATCAACGTGATTATCTTAATAAATAGTATATTAAACACTCATGGTATGTGTTGATGTCAAAATTAGCAAGGATGATTTTGAACCAACTTTAAGAAAAAATGCGATTTGTGTTTAGAAAAGATCACAAAGATGTGATAGTGCCATAAGTCGTTATCTCAATTTTTTTTCTCTTTACAAGGGTCCTACTCAACTATTTATACAGATTTCAGCCGAAATTACATCAAATCAATCAAATCAGCAACAGTGCCGAGCTCGCAACTTGGGTCGCCGAATTATCCAATGATTGGTCAATGAGGCCGGTGGTTATATGCCAATGTATTACCAAAGTAATGATGACCTGTAGGGGGCTGGAATTCAAGCCATTCCAGGCGGCGATGACATCACCTGTGGCAAGTATCTCTGATTGATAGGGTGATGTGACAAGGGATAATCATGATGTTTTTCTAAGATAACGGCGGATAACTCCGACCTAAGAGTGTGGGCCGATTATCTGAGGTGGGATTAGCGAACTGTTTTTACCAGATCGGAGTTCGGATGTCAACAATTACCCCCAGGTCAGCCCTATCGTGGGGGGCTGACCTCAATGATGCTTTCTCCAAGTAGTACATTTATGATTGTGACAAGTGTCATCTTTAGAGGTGGATGAGCTGTACGCCATTTATAAGTAGCTTCTTCAGCAAGTTTGGCCAAAACTACATCGTTTTGTCTCCCAGAGTTTTGGACCGTTGAAATTTTCTCTCTATTTTCGGATGAATGGCTCAGATCGCGCCCTCTTATCTTCCCTTTCTTTAAATCAGGTTTTTCAATCATTTCTCTTCCTATTTCGCTGATTTTTACTCTCTCGGATATTTGGGCGATTTCTCTAAGTTCGTATTCGAGTGAGGTCCTTTTCTCAGTTCATCTCTCAGGTATCCTTCTGTTCTTATCTGCTGCCTCCTTTCAGTTTGTGATTCTTTTCTTAGTTTACACATGAGTTCAGACGAGTCTAGAGTTCATTCCTGGGGCAATCAGCAAGAAGAGTCAGTTTCCTTGAGTTCGTCCTCTAGTTGTAGGGAAGTTTTTACCCCCATTCCTATTTCTGTAGTTAACCCAACTGACTTAGGGCATCCTGTGATGGACTTAGGACGTGAGGGTTCCGAGGGAGCAGGGGGATCCGGTAAGGATGTTGAAGAGAGTAATTCCGGGGAGTGGGGGGCGAGTTCTTATAGGTTGGTTGTGACAGGGGTTGTGTTGGCTAGCTGGCGAGCTAAATACGCCATTCCTAGTTTGGTAGTTATGATAATACTAGAGCCATCTGACCGAGCTGACACTCCTCCTAAGGGATGTGTTGCTCTGAACTCGACATCCTCTAGGCTGGCCTTAGGCTTCCTTGTCCTACGGTGATCCGTAAATCCCTTTCTTCTTGGGGCATAGCTCCCACGCACCTATGTCCTAACGGGTGGCGAACCTTAATAGCCACCCTTATTCTGTGGGACCAAATGGGGAATCCTGAGCTGAGTGTCCAGCAATTCGATTCTTTGTTTACTTTTAAGGAGGATGAGAAGAACTCGGGCTGGCAGTACACAAGCGTTAGGCCCAGGACGGGAGGTTCTTTGGTGTTAGACACCCCTTCTTCAATTAAGAAATGAAAGGAAGAATGGTTTTACGTATTGGGGGAGTGACAGTTTCATTCTGCCGAGGTGAATAGGGAGGATGTTGTTCCTAGGCTCTATCATTCGTTATGTAAGTGTTTTTTTGGGTTTTAGTCTTTTAGCAAGGCGTATGTTTGTCGAAGTGCTGACCTCGGTATTTTTCTTTGTGCAGATTACAAGAAGAAGACGTTAACCAAAGATACTCAGAGAGGAGCTGAGAAAATAAGGTCGTTACCTAAAAAGCAGAGGTCCTGTAAGTTTGTAATCTTGGATTCGAACTTATACCGGACCGGACTGCTGCAAGTACGAGTTTCAAGTTCGGCTCCATCCAACTCAGGTAATATTTTGATCTTCATTCGCGATTATAATTTCTTTATGCATATACATGTTTGAGCATTTCATTTTCTCTCAGGTCATCAGGACGAAATGCGGGGTTACAAGGCAGCTGCTGCATCAAAGGGAAAAAAGAGAGAAGTCCCAGAACGGATGGAGAGTCGTTCTGAGGAGGTGGAGGAAGAGGTTCTGTTAAAGAGGAATCGATCAGCATCCCCGGCATCACTGAGAATTCCGGAGGCAGTGCCTTTGTCGAGCCCGACTCTGTCGTCTCCCTCGTTGCCATCGTCGGTTGCTCCTTCTACTGTGGGGACCAGTTCTGCGAACTTGAAGGATGGGTGCCTAGATTTACAAAGGCCGGGCTGGGAAAGTCTGGTGGGACACAGACCAGAGATATTTCTTGACTATCTCCGAGCTCCTTCTCCTTCCAAGGGCATGACTGCCCCGCTCACTTCGCCTTTGAGGAAGTCGGCCAATTTACTTACCCGGAGCTGGGGTGAGAGGGAGCAGGGCTATCTGAATGAGATGCCCATTGGCGAGGCTTTGGTCACTGCTCAACTCCATGTCCACCGATCAGTTTTGTACATGATGGTAGTGGCGGATAAGGTATACCTCTTACCTTTTTCTTTTCTTTTTTTTTTTTTTTTTTTTTTTTTGTAAATGCCTTAATGACTTACTTGATTTTTGATTTATAAAAACAGGTGAAGTCCGAGCTGGACAAACTCGTAGAGACAAAAGATCAGGCCTTCAACCTTTACAATAGCATAGAGGCTGAAAAAGCCCAGTTTGCTTTGCGGGAGAAGGAGTATGAGGAGAAGCTGAATCAGATGAGGATTGAGCTGAACTCCAGGCTCGATGTCAAGGAGCGACTGTTGGAAGAGATCAAGGCGTTGAGGGCCTCGGAGGAAGAGGCTAGAGCTTGGGCAGAAGAGGAACGTGACAAAGTTAGAGAGGCCATCCAAAAGGTACAGGAGGCCAATGAAAAGGCGAGGCAGGCCACAAAAAGGGCTGAAGAGGCTGAGGCCAAGATCGATAGGGCGGTGGAGGCCTGGAAGGAGTCCTCCGAGTTTGACGTGGTGGCCCAGGATGTGTACGTTGTAGCCCTGGAGGAGTTGATAGGGCACATCAGGAAGGAGAGGCCCGATCTTGATGTGGCCTTTCTGGATGAGGCACGGGAGGGGCAGAAGGAGGAGTTGCGAAAGTTGTTAGAGTCTGTCGGAGTCCGGGTGTTATCGAAAACTCAGGATGTTGGAGATACCACCCGTGCCTCCCAAGACCCTTAGGTGTTTTAGACTTGTGATTCGAACTTCGTTTTGATTGTTTATGATGTTATCATTTGAAATGGATAATTTGTTTATGTTCAGTACGGCTTTTTCTCACAGTCTTTTGAAATGGATAATTTGTTTATGTTCAGCACGGCTTTTTCTCACAGACTTAGCAAAAATTGTAAGAGTGTTACAATAGTGTGTAGAATTACTTTAAATGAATTTCGCTTAGTTGTGCAGTACGCGCTTTTCAAATCAAGCATATACGTTGGGCATTTGTGCCAAAGTGTAGTACTACATACGGCCTTAGCTCGTCCAACTTTGAAGAGCAGGGCTCTATAGATGCCTTAGGAGGGGAGATTCCTTAGGATGAATCTTCCACTAAGTGTCACAGCACATACGACCTTGGATCGGTTTGCATATAAAGCAGGGCTTAATGAGGCTTCTTAGGAGGAATCTTCTACTAAGTGTCGCAGCACATACGACCTTAGATCGACCTGCCTATGAAGCAGGGCTTAATGAGGTTCCTTAGGAGGAATCTTCCACTAAGTGTCGCAGCACATACGACCTTAGATCGGTCTGCATATGAGG